ATAGAGCTGGAAAGGTAGCATGGCATCTTGTCAAAGATGCCAATGGCATCAAGCATGCGGATCACCTCCTCCTCTCATTTCAAATATGCGCTCCTTTCCCCCTTTGAACTCACACGCTTTGCTATAGTATTCTTTGACCATTGTATCACGAAAACCCTCAGCTCTTGTCCTATATATTGTGTAATCTCTGATTAATGGATACTAATCTTTGAGTCTCATTCTCTCTCTAAGTTACTATTGAATCTCGTTTACAATCTCTCCTAAATCTCTCTTAATCTCTTTAATCTCTCTAATTCTTCTTTAATCTTTCTCTAATCTCTTTATTTGTCTTACAAATCCTCTAAGCCACTAAAAACAATACTTTGAACCTTCAACGAAGACCATTAGATTGTCCGCAAAGAACAAAGGAGTAAGAGAGACAGTTTACTACATCATGGATGAAATCTAAACCTTCCTTCATCAACAGCTCTATCAATCTTCCTGGATAAGACATTCATACAGAGAGCAAAGAGGTATGGAGAGAGGGAACAACCTTGACAAAGGCCCCTCGAACTCTGAAAATATCCTGCTAGATCTCCATTTACTTGCACCGAGAAAGATGGAGTAGAAATACACAAATTGATCTAGTGAATGAACTTCACAGGCAATCCAAGATCACTTCAAATTTTCAAAACAAAAACCCATTGCACAGAATCAAAGGCTTTTGATATGTCAATTTTCATAACACTTCTAGGCGAGACCGTCTCACGGTGATAGTCTTTTACCAACTCAGAGGCTAACATAACATTCTCCATGAGTAGTCTCCCTTCTATAAATGCTGACTGATTCTCCGAAACAATTCTAGGCAGTAATCTCCTCAGCCTATTAGCCAATATTTTAGATACCACCTTATACAGGACATTGCAACAAGCAATCGACCGATAATCCTTCATCTCCATAGAATCATGTTTCTTAGGAATCAGAGCCAGAATTGTGGAATTGACACCTTTTGGCAGAAACCATATCTGAAAACAAACTGAACTGCAGTAGTAAAATCCCGAGCAAGCACCAACCAAGTAGTTTTATAAAACTCACAAGGAAATCCATCTGGACCCGGAGACTTGTTGTTTTGGCATAGCGAACAACACTTTGCGAATCTCCTCTTCAAAGACATCAGCATTTAACAAGCGACAGTCTTCAGATGAGCATCTGAAGGAGAGAAGATCCTGTAGATCCTCATCAGAAGCACAGTTAACTGAACTTTGGTTAAGGAACTCTGAGAAGAACCTGACAGCCTCTTCTTTAATTTCTGAATGAGAATTAGCAACACTTCCATCTCGACGCCTAACCTCTCTGATCATATTCTGAGCTTGCCTCGGTTTAATTTCTCTGTGGAAGGTCTTATTGTTTTGGTCACCAACATCAAGCCAGTGAAGTTTAGCTCTCTGTTTCAAAAAAATACTCTTCTAAACTCGCTTTCTGTAACCAGTCACCATAAGCATCAGCTTCTTCTTTTATAGTCACATCACATGGATTTCTCAGAGTAGCAGAATCACCATGCTTTTATCAATGCTAATAACAGACGAACCCTTGTCTCTTGGAAGCTTTTTTAACTTTCTCTCTCTTCATATGAGTTATTGTCTCGTTCTGTTTCTCCTGGTGGTTCTCGTGGATGATCAAGATGAGGTTCCTCTTCTAGCTTTGTAAGGTTAGAACTGGTATGCTCTTTTAAGTTCTAACTAAACCACTCAAGTGCTTCGAAACCTTTGTTTGATTCTGCTTCTGGTCTAGCTTCAGGTGTGAGTAGTGACTCCCAAGAAACTGATTCTGAAGGAAACTGTTCCTCCTTGGTTGCTTTAGATGATGGCTCATTCAGAGTCGCTTGTGCTGGGGTTGACACGGCTTCCACTGTATGAAGATGAGAATTATGGTTTTCACCTGCTGTAGCTGAGGCTTCTTGAGGGATCTTGTGCATCGGTATCTTGAACTAATCCATTATGTGTGTTTTCATCCCTATGAATGTAGAATATGTTATTGTCACTGTAAGCAAGTGATGGCACTGGAGAGAACTAATCCATTATGTGTGTTTTCATCCCTATGAATGTAGAATATGTTATTGTCACTGTAAGCAAGTGATGGCACTGGAGAGAACTGAGTTTCAGTTGTTTTAACAGATTCATCTAGCTTCCTCATCCACCGCTGTGTTGGAGGGAGAGGTGGGAACTGGAGGCCCTATGTGGGTTTCACTGGAGGGACGTGGAGAAGGGATACATAGGCATATCCAAGCAATTTTCTTGATCAGTAGGTTCCACGGAAAGAACAGACTCAGAGAAATTGCCATGTAATGATGGGAGAGTTCCTTGGTCTGCTGCATTAAGAACACCAAGAGGAACATCTTGTTTCGGAAGAGACTCGACTGCTGCTGCTGTTGTATTTTCTGACTCTGTTTCAGATGGACTCTCTTGCCCTTGGCCATGTGTCTGTATGTAATACTCAGGTGAAAAACATTCTTTAGTACCTAAAATATATTCATGTGGATCACTAATAGTTTCGAACCCTACTACTTCGGCAACAGTCTCACTGGCCTTATCATTCAGGCTAGTCTGGTAATCACATGCAAAACAGTACCATCTCTTCCCATTACAGAATAAGTTTGTTTTGATGCGCTCCTTCTCAAAAGTAAGAGAGTTTGTGAAGAACAAACTAATAAACACAAATACAAAACATAAGTCTCTTTTGGCAAATTCAATTTATCTTATTATTTCTTTTTGGCTTTTCTTATATAGAATTAAATCTAACATGTTCCCAACAAAACAGGAAGCATAAAGATAATGAAATAAAACATGTCTTGATTGGATCCTTTAATCTAGGAGCAGACTAGTCTATGCATTACTTAATTAAATAACTGAAATAAGAAAAGGAAGTCGAGATGAGATCATGTCGGTAAACTTGAGATTTAGATTCTTTCTTGTTGACTTTGTCACGTATTACAAACCCCATATAATTTCAAAACATATTACAAAGTTTAACAAACTCTTGGACAAGATCTCTCTATCATTTACAACTTTTCAACATTGATCTACACCAAAAAAGGAGAGCACAATATATACTTGTATCATCCCACTCATAATCTATAACGAATTCTAAGGAATTCCCAGTAATAATTTAGCATATGATCATCAGGTTTCACACAATCCCACTTCCCATTACAGAATATTGCATATGCATCAGCTGCATACCTGTTAATAATTCCCAAATAAGCATCATGAACAAAAAAAAAAACTATCTTCAGATTTGTGGATTCAAGTACTTACTTTCCAACGCCGTGCAGTTGAGTGACATGAGTCCAGCTCTCTTGATGATACTCGAGAGAAAACCGTTGTATCATTTTGGCTCTCTTCTTCTGTAACCCAAGAGGTTTGATCAGAGTCTCTATCTCTTTTTCTTCAACTTCTGTTGTAGTCTTTGCATTAGGACAGAGCTCAAACAAGTCTGATATCACTACTCGCGTCTGCAATCACGTTTAGAATAATCAACTGACCAGACTTAACTAACTGGTCTGAGATGCTCCTAAACAAAACTAAAAATATATATAAGCTCGGCAAAGATATGGAATGTTGGAGAAGAATGAAGACAAACCTGTGCACCAGAAGTTCTGTTGAGAAGCATACATATGACCAGCACCCGCCATGGATCATGCCAATGATCTTCTTGAAGCAGATTACATGGAGACCGTGGAGGCACCCATGTGTTATCCAGCGTCTTCCGCAGGTATGCATCATCAGTCTTCTGACATTGAGAGAGTGAAGGGCTCATAACAGGAGTTTTCCTCACTCTTCGTGATCTCTCCTTTTGTAATTCATTTACTTGGTGGAAATATCTTGAAACTTTTTCAACTTTAAAATATTGACGCAAATCTCTTGGTGGATTTGGCTGTTCTGAAACAGTTGGTCTCTGGAAGTATGGAGAAAATTTTCGGACTGTAGCTTGAGCTTTGCTACATCCTTTCCTATAATTGCTTCCACTTTGAGAAGAAACACTAACAGAATCACACCCTTGTTTGTGCTGTCCTGAAACAGTTAATAATCCCTGGAAGTATGGAGAAATTCTTCTTACTTGAGTCGGAGATTCAAAAGCTTGTTCCTTTACAGTGTTACCTGAAGTAACAAGACCCCTTCTGGTTTTACTTCCAAACCCATTACATGTCTTCCTCCTCACACCTTTATAAGTGAACTCAGACAACAAATCATCTAAACTGTTGCTTTCTTCCTTCTCCATCAAATGAGCAGAACCATCTCTAATTTCGGTATCATCATCATCAACGCAAACTCTAACATCATCCTCATTAAATAAACCAAACGAGCGACTCTCATCACTTACATTGGAGTTGGGTCTATCGATTAAATGGTTAGGCGAGACCCCACGAGTATCATCATAGTCCCTTCCGAGTCTCCGTCCTCTCCTTCGCCGATACTTATAAATTACTGGAGGAACCATCTCTCTTGACCCCTCTTCTTCTCCAATTTCTCATCTCCCTTCCCTACCTCCTCCATGTGTGTAAATTACCTTCTTCTTGGCCACTATTCTTGGCCCAAATCAAAATACGATAAAACCCAATTGATTCAATAATTTCCAACTTAACCGAAATTTAATTCGATTAATTTCGGTACAATCAGAACTAAAAAATAAACCATATAAACTGGGGTTGCAGGCCAACGGTTTATACTAGTTCTGTATGAACTATGAAGCCGGTGACTAAGGCATGGGCATTCGGTTTGGTTTCGGATAGAAAACATTGGGTTCGGTTTCGGGTAGGAATCATTCGGTTTCAGATAATATCGGATAAATCTTTTCTATACCCAATAGGTACTTATGAGATTTCAGTTCGGTTTTGATTCAGTTCCGGGTACCGCCTCACTACGTAGCGACCGAGCGCGATATATATAAAACATATTAGTTAATATGTTAATTTAAATGGTCTAATGTTTACACGCTTACATATTCGTCAATTCAACAAGAGTTTGAGTCAATAAAGTGTTAATTTTATAAACATTTATTTTTAATGTAGAAATACCATATATATTTATAATATAAGAGAGTAGATAAAAGAAAACGTGATTTGATGGTAACAATGTTCTCACTATTCATGTTCTAAGTAAGCTTGATGTCATTTTACCTTATATTAATTTTTTGTAAAAAAGATTCAGTTATTCGAGTATCCATTCGATTCTCGGTTTGATTCCGATTCGATTTTTTGGATATAGAAATATAGAAACCATTTGGATATTTGAGTGTTTCTGTCTGATTTTGGTTATAAGTATTTTGGTTTGGTTCCGGTTCAGTTTTTTGGTTTCGATTTATTTGCACAGGGTACCGGTGACTATTGGTCTTGTCAAGAACAGAAAAATCCATTGTCCAAGGAAGAAAAAAATCATAAAAGGGGTTTGAACATCTGCAAGATTATTTCCAGCCAGGAATGCACAGTAGAGATGTTGTTCTACAAACAAAACACAAAATTTTGACAGTAAAATTATAAAACATACTCTAACTAGAACAATACGAATTGTATGAAAAGTGACATAATTATCACAAATAATTATAAAGCTTCTTGATAATTATTTAATAATGAATAATTATACAAATTTTTATTTTAGAGAAAATAATGAAAAAAATATAGTATTTATTCAATATTTTTATTTATAAAATGTTATAGTTACTAAATTATTTATCTAAAAGTTAACATCTAATTTGTTGATGGATGTAAAGTTACCATTTTAGTTTGCAGAGTGTCATGAGTCTATTTATGTTGATGACAAACAAAACATCCAATTTATTAAAAATGTTGATTTATATTTTTTGCCAAAAAATCATCAACTTTTGTATTTGAGGCCTATTGTTAATCAACTATACTTGTTGACTAATGATATGACTAAAATGATATGTTTTTACTTAAAATGGTGTGTTAACAAAATTTGAGTGTTTTATAGTTAATGAAAAAATTAATGTTTTATTTTGACCAAATTTGAAAGTTGATAATTTATATGATATTTTCCCTTTATAAATTATACTAGTTACACTAGTTGTAAAGTTAATGGTTAGGTTGAATAAATTGTACAATTGAACAAGTTTTACTATTTCATTAGTTATGTTAGTTATACAGTTAATAAGGAACTGTACAATCGATAAGGAAAATGGAGCTTCTTACTTCGATAGATAACGGTAGAGAAAAAAAATGGATGAGACTTTCGAAATTAGCCTGCCCAAGACCCGACCGCATATCCATTAAGATTTTTGTTTTAAGTTGTACTAGATTTTGAAGCCGCACAACCGCGCGGATACTGACTTCATTTATATTGCCTTCATTTATATATACAAAATTCTATTTTATCGCATTAGTGATATATATGTATAACATTAACAGTATAGCTAAACGCTTATATGGGTTTTTTCTAACATATAATTTTAAATTTTGTACATGTAGTTTAAGAACTGAGCAAAAAGAAACCAAGCTTTTGACTTCATAAAAAAAAAAATTGAGCAAAAGAGAAAAGTTAGATGTGAAAAACAGTCGAAACTTGTTCAGTACATATAGTGGTTATCAGAGGCAGACCCACTAAGGTAAATGGGGTGTCACATGACACTCCTTAAATATGATGAAAATAAAATTTGTATGTAAAACATTGTAGATTCTTTAGCACGTTCGGATGGAAATGATACTATGAAGCCCCTAATATCAGAGTTCAACTCCAGCTATGACCCACATATATTTTTCAACTTTTTTTTACTAACGGTTTGACTCCGGTTAAAAATGTTTGTTGGGGATGCCACTGGTGGTTATTCGATCTTTGGGATACCGATAGTTAGGGAAGAGAAATCTTAAGATGATTAACTAATTGATTTGTTACTAATTAAGATAGATATAAATGTTTTTGACATTTTAATAAATGGATCTGGTATGACTTTTAAATAGTAGATAAATTTGGTACTTATCTTTTAATAGAGAAGATTAGTTTTAGTAGTTATATTATTTTCGGGAAAAATACATTTTCATCTTTTTTGCTCTCTGATATACACTATTATTTATCTATTTTAGAGCATAATATAGACCCCATTTGTGGAGTCTATTTTATGTGTCTACCTATATAATATTGTTTTTAGGTTTAGGTTCATTTTGGAGTTAATTAGAATTTTTGGAGCCTTTTGGATGAAGAACATGTAGATACCAAGAATCAGCTAAGTTAGAGTCGATACCACAAGATTAGCATCGATCGATATTGCTTCCTTAGCATCGATCAATGGTCAAGGTGAAAGAAGACCCGACTTTATCAGAATCGGACTTGGAGCCCAAGACCAGCATAATTACAAAATTGACTTTGACGAGGTTTTACCTAATTATATAAGGGTCTCTGCCATTCTTAGGCAAGGGATCGTACTTTTTTACTTAGATAGTTTTTCATTGTTTTCTTGAGGAGAAGATCTAGCAAGACTTTTCCCATTGCTTTGTATTGGAACCCCAGTTTTATATCTGTACAGTTTTTTCAAACTATGAATATGTTCTGCATGATTAATTATGTCTGAGTAGTTCCCTTTGTTAGATTTAGGGTTTGATATGGTTATGTTGAATTAGCCCCAAAATAGGTTGTTAGAAGGATTAATACCCATTGATTAGAAGCATACTTAATGCAAGCTCTAGAATAGCTAACTAGAACTTGATCTTAGGACTTATGTGCAGTTCTGCACTCAAAAGACACCAAAATCATCATATTCCTACAGAACGTACCTGAACCTGTAAATAATCTAAAAAGACTCCAAAACATAATAAATATATCTTAAAACACTTATATACCATGACTAAAAATGGGTCAAAATCATGGAATATCAAGTTTGCATACGAAGTTGTGAATTCTGAGCTTCGTCATAGGATAAATATAATTATCTTGAATTATTAAATACGTGTTCTATGATTGAAAATCATTAGCGTCTATTCATTATAATTCACTACATGAAAACTATAGATCTAGTTATTTTCCATATTTATTTACAAATAAATTATTTCCTTATTTAATATTCTCTTATAAATTGCCTAGCATAACTAAGTTGCTTATCAAATCTATTGTGTGCCCTCGATCTCTAAGTACTATAGTTGAACCTCTTATTTGAGAGACTAATCAGTAGCTTTACTAATAGACCAGATCTGTACACGTCTACTCTCTTGGTCCAGCCGCTCTATTTCCTACGCGGGTCGTCTTCAGCTTATAAAAACAGTGATTGGAAGTATCACAAACTTTTGGTGCTTGGTGTTTCGACTTTCAAATCTCTTTCTCGAGACAATAGAGGGATGTGTAGTGCGTTCCTTTGGTCAGGCTCACCGAACACGCACACAAAAAAACAAAAGTAGCATGGGATGATGTGTGTAAACCAAAGGAAGAGGTGGTTTAGGTATTCGACGCCTAACGGATACATCTTGTGGGTTTGCTTTGAGCTTAATCTGGAGGCTTCTCACAAACTCAGGGTTGCTATGGGTTGTATGGACGAAAGCTTACCTGTTGAGGTCTCACAGCTTCTAGGACGTTAGTGATAAGTATGCAGGTTCTTGGATCTGGCGGAAGCTGCTGAAACTTCAGGACCAAGCAGCTTCGTCTCTTCGATCTGAGCTTGGTAATGGTCACACCACCATGTTCTGGCTCGATTAATGGTCGAGTATGGGAAGATTAATAAACGTTACAGGGGACTCCGGAACTCGTGTCTTGGGTATACCTATATATAAAACGGTCTCTATTGCGGCGTACGCTGGACAGTGGAAATTTCGTCGATGTCATGGCTGTCACCTATGGGCGATGATAGCCACCATCACTTCTGTTCCGGCTCCGGTGGACAAGGCGGCAGATGATCGTTACTTATGGCTCCATGGGGATGATGAGTACAAACCGAACATCTCAAGTATGGAAACATGGAAACAGATCAGGACCCATCACCCATCTGTGGCTTGGAGCAAGGTAGTATGGTTTCCGCAGGCCATTCCTAGGTTCTCTTTGGGGAACCGAACGAGACCAGAGACCATCTGTTCTTTTTGTGTCCTTACTCGTTCACCGTATGGATTGATCTGGTCAGGTTTGTCTTAGGTTCTCGAGTGAATCATGACTGGCCCATCACCATCACGTCTCTCCTCTCCTCTCGGCGTAAGGAGATCGATACCTGCCTCTTGAAACTTGCTCTTCAAGCCACCATCTATAGCTTATCGAGAGAGAGAAACAGTAGGCGGCACCTCGGTCATTCCCAAAGTGCAGGCCACTTGGTTCGTATTATTGATAAGAACATCAAGAACAGAATCTATTCTCTGCGAAAGCGACGCCCATCTTTCTACAGAGATATGATGCAACATTGGTTTGGACGCACCACATAGTCTAAAACCTCTGCCTCTTTACAAATTTTATCTATTGTGTTCATTATTGAAAACATGAACCTCAATAGCCTGTAATTTTTTCTTTTGTTGCTTTCATTTTAAAATTT